CTACCGTGTATTCAGAGGTGATCAGGCTCTTTTCCTTCCCCCAGGATTCAGCCCCCCCAGCGTCTTCTTGGACAGCTGCCCAGACTGGACATAGCCCAGAGCCCCACGTTGGGCGCCAATTGTTCTAGATGATTTACTGCAAACCAATTAGTTTGAATGACTATCTGTTCCTGTCCAAATTAAAGATAATAAAGTTGCGTGCACGCAGAAGTAAATTCACACTGAGACACAAGGTTCAGGGTAATGAAAGAACTTCAGAGAAGTTTAATGGCTTCTGACAGAAAATGGGTGCGCAGACCCTTATAAAGGCATTATTACATCATTGAAGAAAATCAAGATATAGACAAATAGACATTGTTAATTGGCTTAGGTGCTAAGATGTTAGTAAAATGCCCTCCCCATTCTTAGGTCACTATCTACGTAATTTCTTAACTCCTACAGGTTTTAGCGCCATCTTGCTAAAATGAGGAGCTCACTCGACGGGAGGGGCCTTTTGGCAGCTATCCATTTGGAGCGTAGCTGGCACTTGTTAGTTTCTCAAGGTTAAGTTTCAAGGATTTTAGTAAATACACATTTTATCAAAGCTATTTCTTGCTGACATGCAAATTCTATGTTCTATAGACAAAGCTTCCTTGTAAAACTATGGGGGCCTCTTAGAGGTATAGCAAGAGGATTTAAAGGGGCCTTACAAATTTATAGAGGCCTAATAATTCTACAACAGCACCACCACCTTCCTATACTCATCTAATTTGCCAACTTAAAAAAAGTTATTTATGTTTATTTATATATAAATTAAAAGTACTATTCAATATTCCCCAATTGCTTACATCAGCTAAATTACATAGCCATCAGGAAGGTATTTTTTTCTTTTTGCCATGTTTCACTCATGCCCTGGGTTGTAGACATTATTATTTCCCCACTTAATAGTATTCTTTTTATTGACCTTGAATGGATGGATGGCTGAAATGAAATATGACCTGTGATTCTGAGGCACTACTGTATGAGTCATGATCAGTGAGATAACTCACAGGCTAATACATAAAATGTATGTATGATATCCTGTTGTGTCACAGATTCCTTTTCCATTTCCTATTTGCAGTTCCCATCAAAATTATACACAGGCCACTCAAATATGGATGTATTTTGTGATGCCATGACGTAATACAATAATATTTGCAGAATTATTAGAATTATTTTGTCAATGTGTGATAGTTATGGCAGGTTATTAGTCTTAAGTTGACAGCGCAAACATTACATTTTGCTTCTCACGGGGAAATGGAGAGCACACTGAAAATGTAAGGTAACAAAAGAAAAATAGTATGTATCCTTATTCAGATATTGTGAATAATGACTATACTAATGTAACGTTTATTTTTTTAACTTCTAATGTTTGTAGAAAATTATTACAGAACTCGTATTGTAAAGGAATAATCAATTCTAACAACATAAACAGGCATATTCTCACTCTCTCTTTCTCTCCCTCCCTCCCTCTCTCTCCTGTTCTAATTCTAAACCAAGTGGAACATAAAATGGCTTTATAAGTCACCCCAGTCTTAACATATCATCCCAACTTCCCATTTTACTAACTCAAATCTACAAGTTGAATGATTGACCTGCCGGGAAAGGTCTGAATCATGAGCTGGTGACCAATCACCCCTCTACCCTCTTTGCTATCTATCTCTATTTCTGTCTGTTTGTCTCTTAATATACAACTTTGGAAAACAAACATTTAATGAATTACTCTTTAATATGTATAATGTGAATGAATGAATGAATGAATGAACATTACGGTAATCATGTGCTATTGCTCAATGACTCCCTCGACACCACAGAAAAGACAATGCAATTAAGTTGCAGAGAATGGATTAATCAAACCCCTGTCATGAGCATGAAATGTGTATGTCCATAATGTGCATTGGCTAAAAAAAAATCTGTCCTATAGGTAGGATGTTTTATTAACCTATGAAATTGTCATTAAGATATTTTAGTAAATCATCCCTACATCCCTTCATTTGCATGGCGTGTGCAAATGTGAAGAATCATAATATATTCTACTGTGAAAATATGACCTAGCTGTATTTTTCAAAAAGTTAGATAGTTTTTTTCTGTGGGTGGGAGTTAGATGGGTCAAGGGGAGAAATATTAGAAGGATATAGGGAGAAATTAGATGAGAATAAGATAGACATCGAGTAATCAGAACAGTAGATAAGCAGAAACACATCTGACTAGGATTAGGTAAATTAAGATAAAATGGATATCATTTGGATCTTGGGTGAGAAGATACCACAAGCATATGGTAAAAGACAGAGGATTAGAAGGTGACAGAAAATGAGATGGATAGGGAAATAGAAATGAAAGCAGATAATTAGAGCTGAGTAGACAACAAAGATAAAGTCATAGATTTCACATTCATTCAAGATGAGAATGTACTACACATTGGGGGAACCCTTTATAAGGTGTTCTGTTCTAAAAAGTGTACTAAAGTGCTAAAAGAGGAACAATCACCATGGATACCGATGGAACAATCAGGCACGTTCTGGTAGTGACTGCTCTCATTTTACGTTTGCATCACTTTTTAGAACAGAAGACTGTGATAAATCTCCCCCAATATGTCACAATAAAATACACTGGTGAACGAGAAATCTATTGGATTACTGTGGAACTAGAAATTACTATAGGCTTATTTACAAGCTTACGTGTAAATAGCAATTGCTGTTGTGTGGCCTATTGCTAATAACAGCGGCCGCTACAGATACTAACCTTGAAACGAGATCTAATTAATCAGTCACTATTCTGTGTCTATATGCAGTCCCAGATTCTCTCCCTTTATTGGGAAGTTTTATCTTTATTGTATAACAGATACAAACAACTTGCATATTCACAGCTTGTTGGTCATGCGAAACACACGCCTGATTCTGGGCACCTAACCCCATGTGGCAAGTAGCGACAAGCAAGAAGCGTCCGTCAGTAAAAAATAGCAACAGGGACGGAACAAGATTTTTTTATTTCAATGAGATGTATAGGGATTTGGCTGTCACTGACCTTGTTCCACTATGCAAAGATTGCTGTTAAGTTTTTTGGATTAGTGATTATGAGTAGTAACAGAGTTGTAGTAGAAAGTGGCGGCTCCCATAGAAAATAATAGGAGTACTTAACAACTACTTACTGATTTGCTTTCAGTAGCAGAAGCTGGTAACTCTCTATTGATGCTGTTAAAATTTTGCAGCCAGTTAACAGCCAATAAAAGTTAAACAGAAGGCTACTTGTACAAGTAACGCTTAGTGGCTAAAACTATTGGTTTGAAAATAAAAATAACCCAGAGTGGTAGAATGTCCCACTAGCTAAAGCCAGGATGCCTGTGGTACACATAGAGACTTGACAGCTGGTAAATCCTAGAATATTATGTAGCAGTCGGGTAGTGAAATAAAACATAATGTATTAGGAGTAGGTGGTAGTTCCCAAAAAAGGCGCAAGTCCTCTGTTATGCTCTTTCTTGAGCTTTCATTACAACCGATCAGTCTTATTAGACTTAACAATTAGTAGGGCCCACCAACCACCGTTGGTGCTCGGGGGTTACTGAGCACTGTAACTCGCTACACAGTACCATGCTTTTAACAAAGAAAATGCAAACAAATCAATTAAAAGAACGATTGATGAAAAACTATTTAAAATCCCCAAAAAGATAATTTAGAGTTTATATTTCCAATTATGTTACTTGTTTTGGGTCACATGTAGCACTGCATTTTTACATTTTTAATTTAAAATAAAACTCAATGCCCACGTAGGACATTTCCTACTGAACCAGAAAAAAAAGAAGGGGAGTACAGTAGCATTATGAACATATTAGTATATAAATATCAATGGTATATAAAAGTAAATTTCCTGCTCTGTGAAGAGCAATATTTTAAAGCCACTGCAATAACTTCTGTTTAATTATCTTTATTATCCAACACAATGTCTCAGTGATAAAATGTTACCCTTTATTAATTTGTAAACCACCTGCCGATGTGGCAAGTCCATGGGGTTATTGGCACGCACATCATGAACAGAGGTTGCTGACAGCAGATTGCATAGTGACATTTCTGGTGCGTACATTGTCGTAGAGTTTGTCTAGAAGGTGTAGTTCATGTGAAATTCTGTGGGAGAAGTTATTGTTTGCATTTCTAGAATCTCGTAAAAATATCCCATCGCCTATTAAAGGGGCACTCCAGACCACTAGAGCCCTTTAGCTTGCTCAAATGCTTTATATATGAAGAGTGTGTCCTCTTTTTTTTATTTTACAAAAAGTGGTGATTTCAATAGAAATTGGCACATTTATAAATATACCTTGTTACATCCCAAATTTCCCCAATACATATACAGTCCATATTCAGTCTCAAACATTTTGTGTTTTGATAATGTTTAGTTTGCTTTTAAGATGATACTCCTAAAGTACTTTAGCTTGCTGAAATGCTTTATGTGTGAAAAGTGTGTACTCTTTTTTTCATTTTACAAAAAGTGCAGATTTCACTCAAAATATACGATAACTTTGTTACACTTCCCACCCACGCCTTTCAAGCAGACAACAGTCCCTGTTGCTTCCAGGTTTGTTTAGCTCAGCAGAGCTAAATTCAGGAGGCAGACAATTGCTCAGTACACCTGTCATGCAAAGACTTATCATTGGGTTGCATTGGGAAGTCTGTGATTGGACTGTCACAGAAAGTCTGGGCTGGGTTAGAGGACGAGGGCTTGCAAAGGATTCAGGGTTCAAGAGATGTACAGCTTTTGCAAGCTGTTTTTAAATATACATGCATGCTTGTTTTTATTGGAATATTTATCTACTAAACGCTGATTTATAACAATTTTTTTTTTATTTGGGCAATGTCTCATTAAGTTTAACCAATCTAAAAGCAAAATCAATAAAGCAAACAAACTTGTTAAAATGGAAGGGCTATGAAAAAACTAGGGATTGCTATGTTGATGGACAGAATGTATCTGATTAGAAAAATCAATGAGACACACAGGAGTATAAGCCACAGCTATATATTTTAACTGGAAACTTAGAAAAAAACAATAAAACAACCAGTTGAATGTCTTACCCCCCTTTAGTGTCTCTTACTCCATTTAGTGTCTTGCACCTCACATTGTTTCTCTTGCACCCCTATTGTTTTTTTTTTAATAACTCCTGTGGCTCTGAAATCCCAGTAAGAAGCTTTCTATCATAAAAGGTAAACAATAAAGAACATACACTACTGAGGTCTTCCACTAGTTACCTGGACATTGCACCAGATGACACTTGGAATATAAGATGCATCATAGGTGTGCTGCACCACCAAGGGTGCAACTGGACTATGAGGGATCAGAATTTACCACTTCCTGGCTGAAGGTAGGCAGGGAGTGAGGAACTGTAATTTCCTTTTTATTTATGTGTTAAAGCTCCTTATCTTCCCCAACTAACCAGCCACATCAGCCTCTAATTCCCAGTGACACCACTAGCCCACCTCTTGAGCCTCTAAACTCCACTACAGCCCCTATTTCACTTCAACTTGTGACCACCATGTTAGCCTCGAGCCTCCACTACTAACACTAAACCCCACTACTGACCCTTATCCCCACATTATATCTTCTAACCCACCACTTCAACATCTAACTTCCATTACAGCCTCTATTTGGTGCATTGCTTTAAAACAAAATTTGAAGGGTACTTTGTGCTCAGGAAGGGAGAAACTTGCTCAATGTGAAAAAAACCAAAACAAACAAAACCAACCCAAACCCAGTTTTTACCTTTAAAAGACATGTGAGTGCATCCTTTACTTATTTGTTTTTATATACACTGATCAGCCACAACATTACAAAACGTTGACAGGTGAAAAATGAATAACTGATTCTAGCATTACAATGGCATCTGGCAAGGGATGGGATATGTTAGGCAACCAGTTCTTGAATTACATGTGCTAGATGGCTAGATGAGGTCAGCATCTCCAAAACAGGCTTGTGGGGTGTTCCCAGGATGCAGTGGCTAGTACCTACCAAAAGTGGTGTAAGAAAGCACAACCGATTAAGCTGTATCAGGGTCATGCGAAGGCTAATCCATCTGGTCCAATCACACAGAAGAGCTACTGTAGTTCAAATTGCTGACCATGATAGAAATGTGTCAGAACACACAGAACATCGCAGTTTGCTCTTTCTGGGGCTGTGTAGCCTCGGATCAGTCAGATTGACCATGATGACCCTGTCCACCGCTGAAAGCAACTTTAATGGGGACATGAGCATCAGAACTGGACCATGGAGCAATGAAAGAAGGTATGGTATGATAAATCATTTTTTTTTTTGGTTCAAGTGGATGGTCGGGTGCATCATTTACCTGGGGAAGAGATGGCAGCAGGATGCTCTATGGGGAGTAGGCAGGTTGTGTTCTGGGCAATGTTCTGCTAGTAAACCTTGGGTCCTGGCATTCATGTGGATGTTATGTTAACATATACCACCTACCACCTAGAGATTGTTTTAGACCACATACACAGCATCTTGGCAATGGTGTTCCTTGATGGCAGTGGCCTCTTTTAGCAGGATAATGCACCCTGTCACACTGCAAAAATTGTTCAGAAATGGTTTGAGGACCACAAAAATTAGTTCAAGGTGTTACCTTGACTTTCAAATTCCCCAGATCTCTATCGATTGAGCATTTGTGGGATCGCTGGAACAACAAATCCGATCCATGGAGGCCTCACTTCAAAGGATCTGCTGCTAATGTCTTGGTGCCACAGGACATATTAGGAGGTCTTGGGAAGTCCATGCTTCGATGCATCAGAGCTGTTTTGGGCGCATGAATGGGACCTACATGATATGATGCAGGTGGTTTTAATGTATAGAATACAATAAAAAATACATTATTACACACATAACAGACACATACAAAACATTTATAAATTAACAATGAGTGCAGTTGCTTTTTGCTTGAAAGTAGATTTATGCAGATGCTTTCAGGGGTTTCAATCTGGTGACAGATTTTATATTCTCTGGCAGTTTATTCCACGTATTCAACACTCTACAGAAGGCAGTTACTTGAGTGATAATTTGATGCAGTAAATGGAAAGTAAAAGGCATGAAGCAGAACAAAGGACACAAGAGGTGGACCCAGCTGGAGAGACCATTTTCGAAGAAATGCCTCTTCTTCCCAGAAAACACACATGTAGGCTTATTCACTAAACCGATTCTTATTTAGAATAGGTAGCACAATTATATGTTTTAGGCTTAAATAGCCAAAACTGAAACATTATCAGATTCAGGTATTCTTTCTGCTTGGATATTTTGGAGCAAAATGTTATCAATTCTATATAATTAACTATTTTTTATTACATTACCATACAATTATTCTCTTAGCCAAAGTGGTATGATGTCTTTTGATGTCCTTTTACAAAGAAAACATTCTGTCACTGATTATGTTAGATCAAAATGAGCAATCATATGAGTATAAAAACATATAGGTGCATTATATTTTAACTATACACAACCATTCAATGAAAGAGATATTAAACCTACAAGATTTTGAAAAAAATGGAGAAATCGTCAAAAATGTCAAAGTTTTTATCAATACGATGATTAATATATATGATGATTAGGGCATAAAACAGGTATAATACCGGACAGAAACCTGTGGACCATGGCAGTGGGATTTAATTAGGGCAAAGTACCAGCACCCCAAAGTACCAACACCCCTTTTTTTAACTTTCTGTCCTTGTAGAACTTATACAGTTGTCAAAATCAAAACAAATATTTGTTTATCAATCCTTCTGGGAATTATTTTATAGTGTTCAAAACATCAAACTTATTTTGAGAGACAATTCTCTTCGATCTCTCTTTTTCAAATTATGCATCCTTTTTGATGCCTATTCACTAAACTGTGATTTGTGGGAAATTAACAATTGAGTTTTTCAAAATGTACGACAAAATAACCAAAAATCTCAATTGTGGCTATTTTGATTGATGCTATATAAATTGGTTTTCATCTTACAGCTCCATTTTCAGTAGATATACCCTGTTGTTGCAAGGGAAACAAGGGGATGTAAGCTGGACTTCACACCTTTTGCACCTTCTGCACAGATGATTCACTTGTTAGCCTGTGGACACAGTAAAACAGTTGGATTGATTTTAGACATGTTTGCATTGTTACCAATGAAACGATTTTTCAAACCATATGCACATAATTCTGTGTCTATATACTTTTTAATTCCTTTGAATAATCAACTTTGCATATGTCTATATTTACTTTACATATCTGATGACATGGGACTCAGTCGTAATTGCTGTTAAGGTGACAGAACACTTTGTAGTAAAACACATTTGAAATACAAACATTGCTTGTAATCGCTAAGCTCTTTTCACACCAGCTGTTTGAACAGAATGGCATTTAAATAAAAGACTGGATCAAGCTGTCTAAATGTTAATTAAAATATATTTTACATTGTTTGTTTTGGGTTAAACTGTAGAAAAATGAAATCTATAATACGTTTAAAGGACCACTATAGGCACCCAGACCACTTCAGCTCTAACCCTTTTTTCTATAAACATAGCAGTTTCAGATTAATAGGGTTAATCCAGCCTCTAGTGACTGTCTCATTGACAGCGGCTAGAGGCGCTTCCGCGCTTCTCACTGTGATTTTCACAGTGAGAAGATGCCAGCGTCCATAGGAAAGCATTGTGAATGCTTTCCTATGGACTGGCTGCCGCGCATGCACATTCAGCCGAGGAGGAGGAGAGGAGGAGAGTCCCCTACCCGGCGCTGGAGAAAGAGGTAAGTTTAACCCCTTACAGCCCCTAGAGCCCAGCAGGAGGGGGTCCCTGAGGGTGGGGGCACCCTCAGGGCACTATAGTGCCAGGAAAACGAGTATGTTTTCCTTGCAGTATAGTGGTCCTTTAATTACTAATGAACTGTATCTTAAAATCATTTGAAAAGTAAAAGGAGTCAGGAATGGGGAATCACATTTCATACCTCGTGGTACACTGCTAAAGAGAAATTAATAGATCAATTTCATTGTTGTAATTTACCCATTGTAATTCGTATCATCAAAGAATTAATTTCTCTATGTGATTATAGGAGGCAGTGTTAAAATTCTGAAACAAAAGTTTTTGGTTTTTTTTTGCAATATGTGCAAGAGTTTCTTGTTGTTTCTCTGTTTCTAATGCCAAAGAAGAGTTTTAAAAAGCACCTCAGTCTTTAAAACAAATAGAAATAATAATAATTGTAATCTTACACTTTTTTTTTTGTGCATTCTGGCAATCAAGGAAGGAAGAGGAAATAGAGAGCTAAGCCCACTGACTACACTATATTTACTCTTACTAGGCTGTACTAGCAGTCTGAGGTGCCCTATATTGTACATATGTTTGATGTAATGATACTTACTCAATAGTGGGATTAAAAATTTTTAGTAACCAGTTTGGACTTTTCATATGTACGCATGCACAACACACACACACACACACACACACACACATCAACGCAGTCACACTTATATTCCCTGTGGGGCAAAGGGAATGCTATTAATGCATTAAATGCATAAATCTTGTATATCATGAGAATGAGTAGTAATGCATAAACCTTGTATATCATGCCAGGGAGCAATACATACATAAACTTTGTATATCATGCCAATTAACATTAAATGCATAAACTTGGTATATCATGTCAATTAGCATTAAATGCATATGTTTGGTATATCATACCAAATAGCAGTAAATTCATTAAATTTGTATATCATGCCAATGAGCTACATGTGCCTCCAAAAAGCCCACTAATGCCTCCTCCTTGCCACCAGCCTCTCTATGCCATCTCTCTGCCTACAGTGAGGGTGACAGCGTGTGTGGATGGTGACAGTGTGAGTACTCATAACAGTATGTTCCCTTTCCCCCTCCATCCATGTCCCCCTCCTCTCCATGTCCTCACACCCTTCCTCTCCATGTCCCCGTACCCTTTCCATCCATGCCCTCCTTATCCGCATGGCCCCCTAACCCTTCCATCCATGCTCCTTTACCAATTCCATCCATGTTCCCCTCCTACCCATGTCCCCCCCACCACTTCTATCCACCCCTCTCCATGTCCCAGACCCATTTCTGTCATGTCTCTCTCTCTCTCTCTTTCCTTGTCCCTCTACCCCTTCTATCCACCCCCTCTTCTCCATGTCCTCCCACCCCTTCCATCCATGTCCCCCTCTTCTGCCTGTTCCCCTTACCGCTTCCATCCATGTCCATCCATGTCCACCTGCTCTCCATGTCCCCGCACCCCTTCCATACATGTCCTCCTCCTCTGCATGTCCCCTTACCCCTTCCATTAATTTCCCCCTCCTCTCAATGTCCCCCTAACTCTTCCATCCATGCCCCCCCTCCTACCCATGTGCCCCATACTCGTTCTCCATGTCTCCCTACCCATTTCATTTATGTATCTCCCCTCCTTGTCCCCTATCCCCTTCCATCCATGTTCCCCTCCTCTCCATGTCCCCTTACCCATTCAATAAATGCCCCCTCCCCTACATGCCCCTCTACCTCTTACGTCCATGTCTCCCTCCTCTTCATGTACCCTTGCCCCTTCTCTTCATGTACCCATCTCTCTCTCCTTCCCCAAATGGCAGGCAGCCTGTTAGTCACAGAGCAGGTACCCTAGGTGTAGGTAACACTGGCTCTGCTCATTTACAGATAGATGCCCCCTCCCTGCCTTTTTATCTGTCCAGGCATGAGAGAGGGGCCTTTCCATGTCCAGCAGTGCGCTCTGCCTCCTTCACACTGAGCTCCGGGTAGTCACGTGACATCCGGCACTCCTACG